CACGTGCGCAGTGTACGCCGTTCATCGCACCTCGTTCTCTGCCCCGCCATAAACTCCCGTCCTTATCAGTGAAGAGCTTGTCGTGCCACTTTCCAAGCGCCAGTACGGCAGTACGCTTGCTTGCTGCTCAGTAGCTCTTTCCTCTTGTCTGTGCACAGTCTGGATTTAATGCTCGACGCAGGAAGCCATAGGTCTCCCTTAGAACTGCGATAACTTGGCCTTCCTTGGTGCCCAACGAACAGCCACAATCGGGCCTTTTTCTGAGTTTCTTTGGTCCGGCGAGGTGCTTGCTGCTCTAGCTGGCTGACAGTATGGCAATGATAAAGAGATGCCTTCAGTTAACGGTCAAACAATTACTTCAACCAAGATACTGTTAGCCAGCTAGAGCAGCGAGCACCTCGTCAGTTAGAGCAGGCCAAAGGTCCGGCGAGGTGCTTCGTCTCCCTGTCTTTACTGATGCGAGTTCTTAGCATTTGAGTTATTTTCTAGAAAAGATTATAACCAAAGCTGATCCTTTTTTCTATCTCTTTTCCTGAATTGCTGAGCAGGACTGTTAAAGAAAACCAACATCCACCTTTTTTCCTATAAAGAGATCAGAAGAGCAACCAATAACTTCAACCATGGCAACAAGCTAGGCAGAGGTGGTTTCGGAACTGTATACAAGGTATTGCTGTTACCTCTCGGCGCTTGTTCAGTTAAACTGGGAAAAATCGAACAGCTAAATCCCTGCCGTGTTTTCTGTTATGTGGCACATGTAGGGAACCTTCGGAGACGGCACTGCATTTGCTGCCAAAATTCTATCCTGTGAATCTGAGCAAGGGATCAAGGAATTCCTGACAGAGATCGAAAGCATCAGCGAGGCCAAGCATGCGAACCTCGTCAGCTTGCTGGGCTGCTGTGTCCAGAAGCAAAATAGGATCCTGGTCTACGAGTTCGCGGAGAACAACAGCCTCGATCATGCACTGAAAGGTGGTTAGTCCCACCCAACCCAGTTCAGAGTTTCAGACTTCACACCACCTGTATATCGGAACGCAGGCTCTCCACTCGTACATACTCCCTCTGTAAACTAATATAAAAGTGTTTAGCGAGCGGAGCAGCCATCGGACATCTGTATGGGCACGGCCAAGGGGCTGAGCTACCTCCACGAGGAGCACGAGCCCAACATCGTGCACAGGGACATCAAGGCAAGCAACGTCCTCCTCGGCAGAAACCACAGCCCCAAAATCGGGGACTTCGGCTTGGCGAAGCTGTTCCCGGACAACGTCACCCATGTCACCACGCGCGTGGTCGGGACGACGTGCGTAAGCCCTTCTTACACGGAGTCTTTTTTTTTCTGAACCAAGCTAGAGAAAGATGATCGATGTCTCTATATGACTTGCTTGCTTAATTACCTGCAGTGGAGACCTGGCGCCTGAATACGTGGTGCACGGGCAGCTGACCAAGAAGGCCGATGTCTACAGCTTCGGCGTCCTCCTCCTCGAGGTCATCAGCGGCCGGAGGGTCTCGGAGACGATTCGATCGGATACATTCCTCGTGAGACAGGTCGTTTAGCTTGATTTTTTTTCCCGATACGTTGAATATGGCATCTGTATGCTGCTGCTCACGTTGATCTTTCTTGCAGTGCAGGCATGGCTGCTCTACGAGCAGGGAAGGCCGCTGGACATCGTGGACGCGAGTGTCAAGGACTACCCGGAGGCAGAGGTGCTCAGATACGTCAAGGTAGGCCTGGCGTGCACGCAGGCGGCGCCCGACGGGAGGCCCGCGATGCGGCAGGTGGTGAAGATGCTGTCGCGGCCCGCCGCGTTCCGCGAGCTGGAGATGCACTTGGCCGACCATGATTCCTCCGCTGCCCTCACACGTCCTGGCTTGAGCTTGTCGCCTCTTTCCTCCATGGCAACAAGTAGTACGAATTCCGCCTCGGCCACTTACAGTGAAACCGTACCCAGGTAGATGGATTGGTTTTTGAAACAAGACCATGCTCTAAAAACACTATTTTATTCAGAGCATTAGGAATGTTTTTCCTACACGGAATTTTGCACATACTCCTATGTATAACATTCAACAATGTTTGTTGTCTTTATTAAAAAACAATGCTTGTTGTAAAATTAATCAGAATATCTTTTTTTGTTTACTGATTTTTTTTTACTGTTCATGAGCAAAAGAGCTATTCCACCCTCCTCGCCCGTTAAAATTCCAGAAACCAACAACATGCCCTCGGACATGCACCTGATTGGCATGGCCAAGCGGAATTGCGCAGCCCCGAAGATTCGCCAAAATCGAGGATCACAGAACTAGCACTAATATCCAGCTTCTGCGGCTTGATAAATATCATCAGGTCATAAGCAAAGATCAATAGCCTCTAGCTCAATCAGATCTGTCTAAAGACATTGCCCATTAACATTTTCATGGCTTCTGGAGCGAGATCTTTCAAATCAAATAAACAACATACTAAGATGACTAAACAGAGGAATAATTAGCTACATGGCTAACCTACTGATAATTGAACAGCAACTGGCGTCATGCCACAACCTAAAATCTATCTAATACTACAGCTGCTGATAAAAAATAGCTCTACAACTTCAAACCCCATCTACAACCTCGTACAACATTCACCTCAACCTCGGGAGCATGGCAAATAAAGCCAACTGTGCTCATCGATCCGCCGGGTTCCATGGCAAATCCAAACTGAAAGTGTGGCGGCTCGGAATCCCAAAAACAGTGTGGTGTACCAATTGGGGTAGGACCACACTAATACCATATGAGGGCACGAAGGTCTGCATGACTTAACAGCTAATCGCCTTCCAAATTCTCTGCGCTTCGAAAACCATCTTGTCTCCAGTAGCCAGGAAAACCTTGGCAGTCCACCAGATGGAAGAATTCACTTTGCAAGTTGATAGGTCTCCAACTAAAACCCCAGTGTCCGGACACATCCATTTTGTCACTCTGCTCAACCAAAATGGCCTTTGATCCTGGAATATGTACCATGGCAATACACATCCTTTCTCCAAAACTCTGCTCAAGGAACATGGCCTTCAATCCTGGAATATCTACCATAAGGAGGCCTTTGCACTGCCCGGGGGAAATCTGGCTTGAAGCGCTTATTATAATTGGGCGCCAAAGACCTGTGGAAATAGTACGTACACATCCAAGCATACGAAAATTAAAAAAAAAAGCATAGACGAGACTTAACAATGAAAGAAAACACGATGGACACTCAAATCAGGAAAGCTGCAAAAACTGCTTATATAACAGTCATCATCATACCAGAATAATGATTGGGCATGTCATGCTAGCTTTATATATCTGAGTAAGCTAAGCAGCAATAATAATTCCTCAACATTCTCTAGGCCTTAGCACACTACTGCCGCTATGATCCAACTGATGAAGATATATCATGAAGAATCATCTGTGTCTTTGAAAGGACTTAACTGAGCATGCACTGAGTATGCATACCGTTACATGCTTATTGTATGCATAGTACTTTAATGGCAATAAAATCTAACAAAAGGTGGATTCCATAGATACAATTCTAATTAGCCGAGTTGAAGTCTCCAAAGTACAAAGGTAAAAATCCAGCAAGTCCACCTAACATCATGAAGCTCATTTAACTACGTACATCAAACGCAAAGGTACTTATAATAACCAAACAGTAGATATATGGCATGCAAAAGTCAACAAACAATCACCTTGGAGAACTAGACCGTTTCTGAGCAAGTTGACCAAGCATGGATCTCAAAGTTCCAAGAGCCTCATCAGCCGCCTGCAAGATGTCAAAGTATGTGTAAACTTAATTCAGATATACAGTTTGTGGTGGTATAACCAGACCGAACCATAAAAGGTTCTTAATTGCTTAAGAAATGCATTTACGCTGAAATACCGCAAAGTGAACCTGGGTCTACTGGATCCCATCTTTTAAAGAAATGATAAGCACATTTTAAAGTTTAAAGAAATTCTGAAGTTTTTACACAAGCACATAGCTATCATAGAGCAGTAAACCTAAAGTTTGCCACCAAAAGCAAGTATAAAGAGCAGTAAACCCCACCTCTAAGAAACTTAAGCACAATTTGTTTGGAACATGCAAGTGCGAGACAGAAGTATTACATATCCAAACTTTTTCAGCGTACTAATATTCAATCTGAACTTAAAACCCTAAGCATAGTTACATATCCAAACTTTTTCGGCGTACTAATATTCAATCTGAACTTAAATCCCAGAAAAAAGGGAAACTTAATTTCTTCAGTATGTAAGGTATATAACCTGAAGCTTAGCTTCTTCCCATGTTATTCCAACTCCTTTGCCAAGAGTTTGCCCACCAACTTCTACCTGAAAATCCGAAGGCCAGCAGTTTAAGTATGCTGCACAAGTTAATGTTGTTTGTTCAAGCACAACTATAAATAAAAACAAACCAAGCAAGCTGTAAAGTAAGCGTCGATGCCATCACCAAAATGACACCCACTTACATATATCCAAGTATCACCGTACAGGCGTACACAACCATGTTAGTGCAAAATCTATTACTCCCTCTGTCCCAAATTACTTGTCGCAAGAATGGATGTATCTAGACATATTTTTAGGTCTAGATACATCCATTTCTACGACAAATAATTCAGGACGTTAGGAGTGCTAAATTCCAACCATGATTATGACAGGAACATTGTTATGACCGGGGTAACTTATACCCGTAGGAGGCCCACCGGGCAGGTTTAGTTAGGGGCTTAGCCCACAAGTTCTCTTATTTTCGTGGTTATATAAACAAGCTGTAAGACTCTTTTTGAGATTAAGCAATAAGACAATTCTATTGCCCGGCTCCCAGAGGAGCCGGAACCCTAAACCCTAGCCGCCGCCTCCCACCGCAGCCGCCTCCTCCACGCGCACGACGGCTCCCAGCCGCCGCCGGCCGCGTGCTCACCCGCGCCCAGCTCCCTCCTTCCCCTACAATCTCCGGCCTAGAACCGGTAGAACCCTAGCTCCTAACAAACATTTTCATAGAAGATCAGTTCTATAATGGCAATCAACAAAAGAGAAAAGGCTGCCTGACAAGCCTATCAGAGAGGAGCAATTCTATATAAGATCAACCCTAAAAATGGTAATCAGCGAGAACAAGAAACTGCTTGAGATCCTACCGGTTCACAACAAAAGAATTATATACCGCGATTAAGATCCTACTGGTTCACAACAAAAGAATTATATGCCGGGAGACCCACGCCAATAGTGCTACATGATACATCAGGATGTACCAGATACTAAAAAAGGACAGGACACCACATTTTCACCATGAAATATGACTTCATGGCAATATGTTTACTTTATAAATGAATGTGTATGCTGTCAACACTGCGGATATCAGGACAAACAACTCGAAGAAATGAAGCTGCTAACTGACCTGAGCGTAAGTCTCCTTGCCACCTGAACCATCTAGAGGACTTGGCCGAGCTTGAAAAACTAAGTTATATCCCTCAACTGTGCACTGCAGTATGCTTTCACACATCTTCATTACCAGTTTAATGAGCAGAGAGTCAAACAACCAATAAGCGGGTACTTACAAGTTGCTTCAGAGCAGCAATAGAGCCTCCTGTTATTCTGGAATTGTTCTCCCCTGTTTTCGTGAATCGGGATTCCTCTGAAGTGCTTGCGACTGACAATATATCGTTCCTGGTATTTTCAGAGTATCCAAAAAAGTTTGGATTGCTACCGAAACCATCTTCGTTCACATCAGTCATCTTATTTGGATCAGACAACAGGTATTTATCTGCAAGTGAATTTGACACAGCAAATCAATAAAGAATTGTTGTCAACGTACGAATGCGCTAGAAGTTAATGCAAATATGCAACAACACAAACTTACTGGCCAAATTTCTTAAAGATATTTCTGCAGCTTGACGCTGTGCTTCTTTCCTTGAGCTACCAATGCCTTCACCCACTTTTTCTCCCACTATCCAAATCTGAATAAATAAAGCAAGCTCAAGCACAGTAAAGGAGACAATAAGTAAAATTCTTCATCAGAAGTTTTCCTTCAGACAGCCAATGAGAACTGCACACAGCAATAAACTTTGGTGCTTGGTGACGGTTGTTAGTTTCTCTCCAGAAATTATGTTATATTACAGGTGTATGCAATACTATGAGCTTTACAAAAT